TGTGATGCCATCAGTAGCTGCCCTGGGAAAGTTCCCGGGTGGTCTGGGAGCCCGTGCCGCTTTGCCTCCGGATCACGTGGAAGCCTTCCGCGGCTGGGGCTGGCTGCAGACGGCCGCACCGCATGAGGCCGCACGCCAGGCAGGGCCCCAGCGTCTCTCGCAGCACAGGGCTCTGGATGCGGGGCCCGCACTGCGTGTGCCTGTCCGCGCCAGTGCTTCGTGTGCCTCGGGGGCAGACTGCCAGCGGAATCCTTGCCGCAGCCATTCAGGTTTCGCTCTCCAACTTCTGCCTGTCAACATCTCCATAGGATGAGCAGCATTTTTCACTTCTGGGGCTTGGGGCTGGGGGGCACTGGTGAAAGGGAGGGGCCCCCAGACAGAGAAGGTGCAGCTCTTGGTAGTTTGGGTGCTGGACGGGACTCCTGGGAGATCCGGGTTCAAGCCCGCTCAGCCATGAAGCCCACTGGGTGACGGTGGGCCAGTTGGGGCTGCTTGGCCTGACCCACCTCGCAGGGCCGTCGCTGTGAGGATCAAATGGAGTGCGGGGCTCTGGGCCTTGGGTCCCTCATGAGGGGAGAGAAAGTGCCGCGCAGTGGCAAGAAGAGTGAGCACAGCCTCGGAAGGGAGCAGCCCCCGGGCCACGCAGCAGCCGTCTCATACGGGAGGAGAGGCATGGCGCCCCCTCCCTGGGGCTGGGCATGCTGGGAGCTGCAGCTCGGCGCCCTTGTGCGGAGCTCGTCTTCGGACCGCTCTTGCTGGGCAACGAAGGCGGAGGGCTCTCCTGCCTTTCGTCAGCTTCCCAGAGGCGTTGGCTGGCCACGGATGGAGAGGAAACGACCGCCCAACCCTGCCATGGCACGGCTGCTCTCTCCCGGGCGCGGTCCCGGGGAGCACCTTTGGGGAAGGCTGCCCCATGGGCTTTGCTGCACTTCCACTGGGCTCTTACTTTCTGAGCTCGTGCAGATTTTGTGTAGCATCCAGTTCGAGCTTGGAGTGAGGCGCTTGACTGGCAGCTTTGCACCGCAGCTTCCTCTCTGCAGGCAACCCAATGGCCATGGCTCCACTTGTTCAGAATGCAAAAGTTTGGGTCAGTTTAAACTCTGGAGTTGCCTGGGCAGGAGCTGAGGTTTCCCAGCCTCTGTGGGTGAAGGCGAAAGGCCTCCCTCCTGCCATCGCAGAGGTGCTCGTGGCCCCTGTGGCGCTTCTCCACGCATGCTCGTTTGCGGCAGAGTGTCATAGCAACCAGTGGGAGATGCTCAGGGCTTCTTCCCATAGTTACCTTCCTATGTTTGCAGACTGTTGTGAGTGGAACCATGCACTGTTCATGTTGTGACGATGTGTGTGGGATGCAACGGCATGGGAGGATAGGCGGGCCACCCTTTCCTCGCCCGTTTCTCCTTCACAGCCCCTCTTCGCATGCACAGAGGGCGTATTTCTGGCCTCTGAGCCAGATTCAGAAGAAATGTGAGAAACAGCCTGGAGAATCTGCTGCTGGGTGAAGCTGTTGGCAGGCTGCTCCAGGTCAGCGGTGCCTGCCTGGAGCAGTTTTCTGCTGGCCTCGCCACGCAAGCATGACTCTTCTCGCTCCGTGTTGTCTTGCCATATCTAGAACCTCCTCATGGCTGCATGTACTCCCCAGTTTAGGAAGACACAGGGAAAGGATTACAGTCCTGCCTGTGCTGGACTGAGTGTGGGCTTTATTTTCTCTAGGTTTCAGGGGGATTTGGGAGAGCAAATCTGTGCTGTAGGAGCAAAGACGATGAGAGGCACATGATGGCAGAAATGGCAGGCCAGGCTTCCTAAATTTTGGGTATCCTGGTTCAAGGGGGAAGAAGGAGAATCCACGTATGGGGCACATGGGAGAGAGCTGCTTTCTGGTGGCAAAGCCAGCAATGCATTTGAGTCACGGGGGTGGAGGGGACAATCCCACTTAGGGGTTTTCGGTAGCAGGACCCACTTCCCTGATTTGGAAGCCGGGTTATCGCAGGCCTTCTGGGAGTCTGCCGGCTGAGGCCGGGCCAGGGCGGGGCCATGATGGAGTGCCCCTCTTAACAGGCCTCAGCAAGCCCTGCCAGGCCAAGGCCAAGAGACCGGGCAGGTCTCATTAAGGATCCTGCGGTAGAACTTGATTCTGCCAAGCAATCCAGTGCATTCCGTCTGACCAAACCCCCAAACTACTGTGGAACTTTAGTCTTTTTTCCAGAATTAAAAGGGCAAGTTCCCCCACCCCAAGAGGTAGCCGTGGAGGCAGGAGCCATTTTGCCCTTTGAAATTCCGAAGCATTACTCCATGCCCAAGTTCAGCTGCCGGTGGCCCGTGCTTTGGCGCTTCATCGTGGTTCCACTGAAGCCGGTCTGCCCCTGGACTGGCTCCGCTGTTTACGGAGAGGAGAGGCTGGCAGATTCCCCTTTGGCATTGTACTCGGTCGTGCTCTGCTGTGGCCCAGTGGGGCAAGACAAGCAGCGGCCACATGCATGCGGCGACGTGTTGAAGTCCCCCGCCTGCCTAGGAATTGGCTCTGGAGAATTGGCTCCTGTTTGGCTTGGTGGAATTCGGATTAGAACTGTAGAGTTTTGAAGGCACTGGGTTTTCCTTGACTTCAAGAAAAAGGGCATTTTAGTCTCCGGAGGGAACTGTTTCAGGGTGTGATTGATTTTAGTATTTGTATTTGTACTGCTTGGTTTTTATTAGTTGTTAAGTTGTTAATTGCATTTTAATGGTGCATTAGTGATCTTTTATGAATTCTCTCAGACACGGTGAAAGGAATTTTTTTATTCAATAGGCATTTTCAAATAAGTACATTGCTCTTGAGTGCCTTCTATGCACATAAAGAAAGAAAGCTCCAAACCCACAGCACCCCAACACCTAAATCTTGGCCACTAAAAACCAGTTCCCAAGCAAAGAAACAGTCCTACAAAATCACAGCAGTCCGATTAGAGCTCATCTAATTGAATGTTATGGAAATACCTTAAATAAACAAGGACTGCTCTTCTTTAACATAATAGTATTTGATATTAGGGCAGAGTCAGCAGGAACCAAGAGCAAGGAGCTTGCAGCTGACATATTATCAAGCTTTTATTTTGCTAGCAGCTCTGATTACACGGCAGTTGTATTAAGCACACTCACCTGACCGGTTGTGATTTACAAGAAAGGTGAGATCTGAATTAAAACATGCAGGTGGGGGCAGGTTAGCACCAGCGATCAGTTTAATACAGCCCTGCCTGCACAACAAGCTGAGGCCAAGAACTTCAGATGGGAGAAGACTATCAGGCATAGAAAGGGTTGGCACATGAAAACAACGGTCTGATGGAGACAGGAAAGTGTGCCAGATCGGGAGGCTCAGAGAACCAGAAGCCTTGAGAGGGGGTTATGTTTGCTGAGATGCCGTAGGTGCAAGGAGGGCCCCAGTCTCTCTGGTGAAGAGCTTCCTCAGGGTCCAAAAGGGTGCTGCTGGCTCCCTATAGTTAAGCCGTGCCTTTCAGGATCACTCCTTCCAAACATGTGAGAGCGATCGAGACATCCAGCAGAGGAGTTCAGTGCCAGGCCATAGCAATGAACAAACACTGGAGCCTTTCCGTGCTGATCCTGTGGAAGCCATTTGGGCATTTGGGTCAGTCTGGGTTCAATGGGGTGGGGAAAAGATGGCCACCTTCTGTGGGGCCTGATGAGGTCTCTTCCTAGTGCAGCTGGGGTCTGCCATGTTCGAATGTGCCGCAGTACAGAAAAATTAGGCTAGCCACATAATAAGTGCTGAGCAGGAACCCTTCTCCCTGCCCTGCTAGCTTTCTCTGTGGAGAGGCATTTCTCTTTTCAGTATGGAAGAGCATTCAGTCGTGTGAACTGTGCAGAACTGGGCCAGGTGGCTGCAACTCTTGCTGGAATCAGTGGGGCTGAAGAAGTGTTCACTCCGGCATAACTTATGTGGGTCTCGGGGAGCACGTGGCACCTTGCAGTGATTCAGTAACTTTCCTAATGGATCCATATGCATCCTGCTCACTTTGGAACAGGAAAGTAGGACAGATGCTTTGACTGCCAAGTCCGGGAATTGTGCTGGCCGGCGGATCATCAATGTTTCATAAAGAACAACAGTCTATAAGAAGTTGCTGTTATTTCCTACCATATTCATTCTTTATTCTCGAAACAGTGTAATTAAGTTGATAAAGAACAGTATGACGCGTGATGATGTGTGTGTGCTTGAGATTAGTTTCAAGACAACAGAAAACCGCGCTCGCCCAGCTGGCGGCCCAGCAAGTCACCCGGTGGGTGAGAGAGGAGCGCCTCCGAAGCGCCTCTCGGGCTTTGAGGGGGCCTCACGAGGAGGGGAGGCGAGAGGCCTTCCGGGGGGCTCTGCTGAGCGGACTGCAGCTCAGGAAGGCGGACCGGGGTGCAAAGCCGGGCCGGGGCATCCCAGGCGCTTTTCTGGGGCTGCCGCCGGCTGGGCCTTCTGGAAAGGGACGGCGGCTCCGGGCTGGAAGGGGTCGGCCCTGGCCGAGAGGCTGCCGGGATGCCTGCAGAGGGAGGACGAGCGGAGTTCCGAGGCCCCGGGGCAGCGCGGCTCGGAGCTCGGGCTCCCGCTCCGGCGGGAGCAACGGCCAGGGGGCCTGGGAGCGGCGGTCCCGGCGGCGAGGGCGCAGGCAGGGCCTCGGGGAGGGCGGCACCCACGCCTTCGCCGGCGGCCCGCCCCGTCGCGCCCGCCCCGCCGCGCTGCGTGTGCGGCCGCCGTGAGGTCGCTGTCCCCGGGCCAGGTGCTGAAGCGCGCCGGCCTGCCGCTCGGCGCGCCCCTCCCGGCACGCTCGGCAGCAGGCGCGTCAGCGGCCGCGGTGGGGGGGGGGAGGAGGAGGAGGAGGGCCGGGGAGGCGGGCGGGCGGGCGGCTGTTGCCGGGGCCCAGGCGGCGCCTGT